AAGGCATTGATGAAAGACTGAAGATGAAACAAATAAGTGGAAAGCTATTCCATTCATTCCATCCTAATGCACTAGGATTAATGTTAGTATCTCCATATTACTGAGGCAGGGTGCAAACTAATACAGTCACTCTCAAAATTCCAGTGGCATTTTTTACACAAGTAGAAAGCAATCCTAAAATTTGATAGAACTACATTGAGGCTCCTGAATTCAAACTATGCTAAATAGATGTAGTGTTGGTGTACATAAGAAATGTTCCCTTTGGGTTCTTCTTGGCCAGCAAATAAACAAGCATCAGATATATTGATGGGAGAAAAAACATAGAAGTGTCAATATTTTGTATAGCTCCTGTGTACACAGGGAGACCCAGCATGGCTGAGTAGCTCACTTACATGGTTTTAGATACTACCTCAAGACAAGGCAGGTTGGGTCAAAAAAGGAGAAATTTCCCAATAAGGACTTGGAAAATAAAGCAATACAGACTTAAATTCATCCTTCTTCCTTGAAAGGAGATAAGAAGAATAGAGCTTCCTAGGTAATGTTCTTACAGAGAAAAATTGATAAATAAATAGGAAAAACAGCTTCCACCCAGTCTCAGGACCTGTTCCATGAAATAATCCTCTTGTCAAAAAACACATATTTAAAAGGCAGATTTTTTTCGTTCCCACAGCCCCACTTTTGGAACTCCTCAATATATTCCACAATTGGGAGATGAGTTGCTTAATTATTTCCTAGAATCAGTCTCTTAGTCCTGAAAAGAGGTCATTCCAATTAAACAGTTATGCCCTATTTCTGGATGCATGACTGTGCAAGAGATCACTCCCTTAGTAACTATCTGTTATACTCAAGAATGGCATGATGACTTTAACCATGGCATTTGATTCTGAAGCTTAGATTTATTGAAATTATAAAGTGACAGAAAGCCCCAGGGGGTTCACTAAAGTCAGTGACTTTGTTAGGTAAAACAACCTCTCCCATATATAGGCCACAAGGAGCCTAACAAAAGGGATGACATTGTTGTACATGTGGGGGCAGAGTGGAGGGGGAGCAGCCTGTGCAGCCACAGTAGGGGAACATGCTTCTTCATATACCACATGTTCAGAATATGGAGAAGTCCTACTAGATGTTTAGTATTAAAATGAAGACAAAGTCAGAGTGAATTTAGGGTTCTTCTCAAAACACACAAGCTACTACCAACTGGTTCATTGTGGGCCAGCAACAATTCCACCATGTCATCTCTGGACTGCTAAGACAATTGACTAAAAGAAGTTCCTAGGGACAAAGAGGAAGTAGTGACTGGTGTTAACTCATTAAGCTCTGAATTATATGCATTATTGTTAGTGTTCTTGTTCTGAGACTACATGCATGGCAAAAAAGCAAGCACACCCAAGAGGCCTCTGTCACAAGGAATAAAAAATACTTTTATGGAAATAAAGAAAAGAGGTTAAGGTTTGAAGCAAACCACAAATTCAGTTGGGAGTCCTGATGGAAACCTGTCATAAGATTTCTAGATGTTGGTGGGGGATGGTTTGAGACATCTTCACATGAGGTGAGGACAAACAGTGGTTTTCATGTTTGCAATTCCTTATCATCACATATTTAGGAAAACAGTGATGGTCATATCTAGCACAGCTGTCTTGGTTATCTCTCTGAAGTTGACTGGTTTCCACTTCCAGGTTTAGAACATGACAGGCAATCAATCCAAGCCAAAATGATTGGGTGAAATTTGGAAAGATTAGTTTGAAAAGTCAGTCACATATTGGAAAAACTCAGGAGGACACTGGGCAAAACTTAAGGTTTCCCAGGGGCCTCAAACTCTTACAGGGAAAAACCCATGATGGCCATTCTATGGGTCATATGCATAAAAGCAAAGAATTAAATTCTAGTGTGCCCAAAGATTTTAAATAGATTGATGAGAGGTTCAAAAGGAATAGAGAAGGGAGAAAAGGATTAGGGGAGAGAAGGATTTCAACATATAGACTCCCAATCAAACTCACAAATCAACCTTCCCTTGTGGGCAACTTTAGCCAACTAGGCAGGGCCAAAAGTGGAGTGGCCAAGGCCCAAGAGCAGAGCTGCCAGAAGCATGAATCCAGTCAGCCTCCTGGCACGAAACACAAGCAAGAGGTTGCACAGTGCTCTTCATTCTGGTAGAGCACGAGAACTAACATTCAAAATGTACCACCCAAGCCGAATGCAGCACAAAGTCAAGATGGAATCTGACTTAAACTCTCAAGAGTTGGATCATATCTCCCACCAAAGCACTGAAGCTGGAAAAAGAGCCACATGCAGGAGGCAGCTGAAGGTGACAAGTGGGACCAGCAGCAGGAACCCACTCAAAAGGGGCACTGAGCTGAGGTGGGAGCAACAGG